GCTGTATTCTGAGCTGTGGGCTGCGGGCTGCACTGGTATCAGTATTGGACAGGAAGTCCTTATATACCGGCCTCGGGCTACGCCCTCGTCCGGTATAGTCAACAGCCTCGGAGTATCTCCTGTACTGCCTCGCCGCCTATACGTTAACTAATACAAATGCACACTGAACATGGTGCAAATGGAATCTTGATTGCAAACCTGTGCCAGAAACAACCTCACACCATAACAGGGTTATTAGTCCCATAAGATTACCCTATTTAAAATGCATGAGATGACACATGCATTGTGTAAGATGTACGTCTTAACTCACATTCCACCTTTTACTGCTAACAAGATGTCAATGTAAATTCAAGGAACTTATCTTCACACATGCATAAGATTGGTCCAATGATTGAGACGGATGGATATAAGAGATGGAGCTCATAAAGACAAAAATATGTGATTCTCTGTACTGTGCACTGCACACCTACGTACAATGTATTGGTGACTTGTCTATGAACTAGGCAAGAGAGATTGGCAGCATGTGTCATCTCTGTGCAGTTTTAGGTCGATAGACTTATCCTGTTCTCATGCAGGATTTGAATTTCATCCAGCTGGCTCCCTGTGTCAGTCTTGAAAGTGTCTAGACATGTTGCAGTTTCGGTGACCCCATGTTGAGGTTAGCTACATCTCCATTGAGATGCTTTCCTGAAGATCGTCATTCTTGTGTTCTTGATTGTCCCAGGGTGGACATAAATTTACACTCTCTTTCTTATCATAATCATAATAATTATGATGAAGGATAGCGAACCAATATTTTAGGGGCCCAAGGTTATTCCTTATTTCATTTAGATCCTGCTGCTATTTGTTTGACTCTGACAGAAGCAGAGGTTCATAAGTGCTGAAGTCTTCTGTACCACACGTCGAGAACCCATGAAACTTGTCTTCAAGCGAGGACAGTTAGCCATGAATACACGAAAACTATACACAACTAAATAAGCAAGGGGCGCAATATAATGTGCCGCATGTAGGAAACAAGCAAACCATTATAGTTTAAGGTTGCCATTTTATACACACAGGCTAACTACGACAACTGATATTGAGTGACCAAAGAGGCGGAGCGAGTTGAGTCGACCACGTCAGTTAAACGTCAGAGGTTCATAATGTTCAGCCAAAAGAGAGGTATATTGAACGAGCTTGAGATGTGGCAGTGGATAACGATCAAGTAGTCAATACACATTATGCATTGAATTAAGGGGAGAAATGAGAGATTATACACGTAAACGTACAGAGTTTTACAAAATAAAGGTTTGCCAGTAAGAGAAATAAAAAGGAAGAGTTTATTCAGAAACCACCCTAGGTCATCACATCCCAGACCATAACGTAGTTCTTCTCACTGATGATGGAGGCAGCATCTGGCAGACCTGACTGGCCCGACTCCTTAGCCTGCAGAGTCTCCAGGACCTGGACAATATGCAGCAGAGACCTATGAGCTACATGTATGTAAGCTATTTCTCTGTGGGACACTAGAGTGCCTTCACATTTGGAAAATATTTCTGAAAAAAGTTTCAGTGCTGCGTTTGGAAGAATGAGGCAAAATGCTGAGATGGGGTTAATTCAGTTAAAGTAGAATATTTAGCATAATTATTATGCAAACTCAGGGATAGGCGCATTATTTCGTGGTGGTTTACTACGCGTTGTTACACACTATTCTGCAAACCGTGGAGGTGCCATTACACGGTTAAGTATTAACAAGCGTGGTCGCACACGCAAGGATTTAAACTTTAGAGCGCTGTTCCGCACAAAAGTGGGTGGGTCATTGTGCAGTTGTGCGCGAACAAGCGTTTGCTGAAAAACACCTTCCGTCGCGAATACGCGAGGGATAGAATATGCCGACCCGCCTGCGCGCGTTTCTGAACACTACACGTGGACGCGTCAGTCGTGATGCCCATGACATTTCACCACTGAGTGCAATAAAAGTGCGATAATTTCCGTGCCGTCCCGTCCTGCGCTTTTACTCGCGTTATTTTACACGGGATGACATGATACCTCTATTTCCCCCCCTCACTTTAGAGATATGATTTTTAGTTGCATTTGCTCTCAGGTTCTGGACACAGACAGGCATACTGCTTGCATCAAGCTACTGTGGGTGCAGAATAATAACCTTGTCAGCAGTTCTGAGGTCGAGGTGGCCTCTTCCGCCTCCTGCTAGTAGCTAGCTCGCGGAGAGTCTGACACGGGCTAGCTACAGTAGTATAGATAGCATGCGGGAGTCGATACACTCCATTCGTTGTGACTTCTTGTGCCTTCAAGATACACAGAGCGAGCGGACCCAGTCGGGGTTAGCCTGTGCTAAATTAGGATAATTGCTTGTTCACTTGGTTTTCACACCATAACTTTGGAACACAGTAGTTTTACGAAAATCGCCATGTTTAAAATGAAGCCAGTGTAGCACTGAACCCGTTGGTGTCACTTTTTGGCCGGTTTGTTGCACGTGGTGGCAGAAAACGTGGTAACAGACTGACACACAGACCAAGTACTATAACCCTCACTGCGCATGCGGGCCGAGGATTAATTAGCACTGGCTTACCTCGGCCAGCTCTGCGTACCTTGGAGGCACCAAAAGTTGCAACGCAGGACGAGTGTCGACTCCCGCGTGCTATCTAGCAGTGTAGCAAGCCTGTGACCGACTCTCAGCAAGCTGGTAAGCGACCACGAGTCAGTATAATTACGGTAAAATTGGACTTGGCCTCTGCAAATTTTATGGCAATTTTCGTGCAGCCTTGGCGGCCTTGCATTTCACGTATCCAATGCTACGAAGAAATGATTCTGCCTATATCTCTCAAGGCTAATAGGACCACCATGCTCTTTCAGAAGTGCTGGATTTTTGTAGTAGACAATGCCTTTAGCTGCAGCTATGATGATTGAGCGATTGACAATACCTACCTCCAGCCTCTTGCAAACTTTTAATGTAGTTGGCTACATCCCATAGCCCGCGTAAAAGCAACGGTCTCACCGCTAGAAGCATGCGCCAGGCTTTTAATTTTGTATGGGTCTTTCCCCATTTTAGCAGAGAAAGGTAAGCCTTCTTCATATTGCGTACTGTACTCTCTGTAACAACATGCCCAAGCCCAGCAGAGAACTTTACTAGCAGCACCTTGTTCCCATAATCACACAAGTATTTCGCGATTTTCGTACACGTTTCGTCGTCGTAGTAGTGGTAGCTCCCCATTTTCCATCTCTGAGCTTGTTCCTGGGCCTTTCCCACTTGTTCACTGAAGCTGTTACTCCGTCAGTTTAACTCAGCATAGAAAAATCTCCTTGAAGCCAGCGCACAAGCAACATTGCGCTGCCTGCCTGACTGCACACGTGTGACCTTTGACCTAAACCTTGCCGCACACTAAATTTAGTGTTGCATAAGTCATCACTAATTTCGTTTAAATTAGGTAGCTCGCTAAATATAGTAGCTTTATAGTACTTTAGGAGACTCCCTGTGCTATTAGGTAACGCATTTTGAGCTTGATGAATTTCAAGAATTGCATGAACCAAACATTCATGCGTTTCCTGCGTAACGTATATTCTGCCTGGTGTTTTTCTGTGTATTTTTTCTCTGTTTCCCATGCGTTTTCACCCGTTTTCTGTGTTCTCTGGGTGTCTCCCATGCATTAAAAAAGTAAAGAAAAACTCCTTAACCCTCAGTATGCATGCGCGCGAAGGTTACAATGCTTGGTCTGTTTGTATGTCTGTCTGTCTGTGTCGACGCTTACTCTGGCCCATAAGCGATAAAATGGTGGTTTTCCTGAAACAACTGTATTCGAGATATATGCCGTGAAAACAAGCTAAAAAGCCTGTATGCATAATCAAACTGGGCTTATGTCGACTGCTCTGTGGACCTTAAGGCACAACAATGGGCATGTATTGACTCCCACATGCTAAATGCATACATGTGTAGTTGCCTTGCCTTGCCTTTCTATATACCTCGTTACCAAGTTGTTGAGTCATGCATATACTCAGTTTGGAGTTAGGCGTCATTGGTGGTTTAATTACCCCGGTCTGCTCCTACATACTGAGTGAGAGTTTAAGTTACTGTGCCATAGTACAGTGGTTTGAGGTTTGCCTTGTGTTGTGTTGTAGATTCGAACCCCTACCAGCTGAGTTGCCCTGGTAGCTCAGTTGGTGGAGCGCTCGCCTAGACTGCAGAGTGTCGTGGCTTCGAATCGCAACCAGGGCAGCTCTTCTTCTTTTCTTTGAAAAGAAAGAGCTGTCCTGGGTGTAGTTGACTTGTTTGCCTTGCCTTACCTTTCTACGTTGTTGTTGAGTCATGTAATAGCCCAGTTCATGAATGTGCTCATGTGCTTTTTATTTTCGCGGTAAAAACAGTAACAACAAAAGCAGACCAACCACCTCCCACTTTTTCCTTGCTGTTGTGGCATAATCTTATATGACGTAAGAGAAGGAACCTCTGTGTCAGCCAGTTGCACAACTTAGGAAAGAAAGGTTGTAAACTGCTGCAGCGAAAGTTTTGGCAGCGAGCTTGCCCAACCCTCTCTATGGCACGGTAAGAGATGCTGAAGAGATGTCCAGGGAGTATGCACACAGGGTACCTATTAAGCCTTTCACCTGGTGTTGGGAGCGATAAAAATGGATAAAGAAGGGGTGATATTCAGTCCTTTGTGAAGCAAACAAACCCTTTGTGATCTTATGGTACTGAATCACAATGTTGTAGTGTTCAAAAAATTTCATTAAAAGGGAATCTAAGCTATAGATATCCCAGCATTCAGAAGTCGCACTCTCAGATTGCGACTGCATGGTTTGACAAGGTTTGTTGTCTGCAGTTACATGAACCCCGTTAGCACAAAGTATCATGTGAGACAATGGGAACACAGGAATCACAAGCACATACAACGAAGAGCAGAGAGATACTTAAAAGAAGCAATACACAGGAGCACCAAAAAAACACACGGAACACAAACACAAATTTGTGAGAGGGATATTTAGCCTTGTTTCCTGTCCTTTCCGTCAGTGAGGAAGGCCAGGACACAAGGCTAAGGCGGTGTAATGAAAGTTGGTGTCATATGTGCCATGTTCACTTCTTTTTACAGAGTCTGATTATGTCGGTCTCTAGTAACCTGTCACTATTAGACGTAAGCAATTGTATCAGGGAACTTACAATGGAGGAGACAAGGGACTTAGTGTTCCAAATGGGTGTGCCATGGAATAACCTGAAAGATATTGCTGCCATGTACGATGGTGAAGATAGAAAGCAAAACTTTCTTAAGAAGTGGATGGATATGAATGCGGATGCTAGCTGGGATCAGCTGGTCATGGGGCTAAGAAAAATTGATCAAAACAAACTGGCTGCTGAGATTGAGTGTTTACATGTTCATACAACATTAGCTCACTATGATCCACTGTCGGTAGATGCCAGCCTAAGCATTGTTAACCCTGTTGTGAGCTCAGATGCAAGGGTAGAAAGGGTAAAGAGAAATATAGAGCATTTAGAAGAAGAATTTACGGACATAAAGTCTGAAGCACGGCAGTCACTGACAAAGAGGGAAGTACAAGAGTCCAGGTTTGTTGAGAAATTTCGAGATCATCTCTTTGACCTCCCAGTCTCCAAAAAGCAAGTTCACATTCGTTTTTTTTGCCGATATGAAGATGAAATTCTGAAAGCCGAGACTATTCAAAAGCTATTTATTATCCTAGGTCGCTATTGCAACTACTCAAACTATGAAATAATCTTCCACGTTGTCAGGAGGTTCTGTCATGAACTGAGTGGAAGAATGGGTAAATACCGTGACTCCCTCACTATTTTTGAAAAGTCCACTACTGTTGATGTCTTCCTCTGTGCCATTTCCGCTCGCCCTGATGGTGAAGTTAGCAAAAGATTCATTCGCATGACCATCAAAATTAACAAGCCACCCTCTGAGTGTACACTTTATGAGATCCGAGAGTTGAAGGAATCCGTTGAGGAGAAAGCGTCTTTGGAGTCTTATGCTATGTATATTGACAGTCCAGAGGAAGGCTCTGTACACATTGTGCTACGCATACATGGCGATGTTGCTTGGATGGTGGGTGTGGTGTTGACGCCAGACGTCAGACAAAAATATCTCATATCAGATGTGACTATAGAAAGGTTCATGTGTTGCAGCTGTTCTCTCACAAAATACCTGGTAAAACTGTAACTTTTTACATACATAACAATAGCCTCATATTCACTCTCTGCGCATACAGGGTGTGTATAAAGCATGTAAAGCAAAAACTGTATTTAAGAGCAGATGTCCATGTCATAGTCAGTGTGGGGGCTGTGAGCTTTAGGCAGCATTTCTATAGAATGGTGTGAGGATGTCCCAGACTGTACAAAATATACAAAAGCCAAAAATTGTATATACAGTGGATACCATGCCATTATCCCCAATTCATAATAGTTGTGGAAATTTGTACTAGTAATCCTGATTTCCACTAACGGTATTGTTTTATTATTGAACAAGAGTGATGAATTATACTCTGCATCTGAAAAAGGAGAGGTGGAGGCAGTGAGGTCACTGATCACTGCTGGAGCCGATGTTAATGTCGAGACGGTAAGGCATTTGGTATTCTTTCATGGTATCCTTGACCAATATCTGTCACAGAGTGAAGGTTCTGCACTGATGAACGGTGCCTGTTATGGTAGTACTGAAGTTGTTTTACTGCTACTGAAGGCTGGAGCTAGGATTAACTTTCAGAATGAGGTGTCTAAAATTATGTATATACGTTAGGTATTTCTGCATAATACTGAGAGTCCTGTTTATGATAAGTCAATAACTGCACATGTCTGCAATCAACAGTGGGGACACTCTGCACTTATGAGGGCTGCCTGCAATGGTTACTCTGAAGTTGTTTCCCTGCTACTAAAGGAAGGAGCTAACACCGATCTACAGACTGATGTATGTATATAACAGAAACTGTCGTGTGAGGAAGCATTCTCATTAACCCCTGACACCCATGTGCAGCTTACTCAAGCCCCAATGGTCACTCTGTAAATTTTTGTAATAAGCACCATTGTGAGTATACTATGTGAGTTATTGAATGAAGATGTGGTCAAAAAGCTGCTAGTACGCCTCATGCCTTATCAGCTTCTTCACTACATCTGAGTACGATAATTTCTGTAGTATTCAAGTGTAAATGGTGTTTTAACTGGTTTTTAGACAGCTAAAGTTATTGATAGCTTTCCAGCTTACAGTAGCTGCTACTGACGGCGTACGAAGAATGGTAGACTTTAAAGGTTGAGTAGGCAAGGAGGACCGACAGTGAGGACCGTAACACACAGAAATTTGTGCACTAATTCAAAAGCACCTCGCTTTTCCGCGCCTTGCTATAGGTAGTGGAGATGGAGTACGAGCTGTAAGTTTGCTTCTGCTACTTGCTGTTCCTGTGTAAAAATTCAAAACAGTTCTGTATCTTCCAACTGCAGAAAAATTAATGTTGCACGGTCGTTCGCAATATTAGCACGGGCAGCACCTTTGATATGCCCACGCATTGTACTACAATTTGAAATTCATGCATAGTGGGAGTATGTATATTGTACCAGAGCACATTTGTTTAAGGTGGGTTTTTGACTTGTGTTGCATTGTGTTGTTGTAGGTTTTAACCCCCAGCAGATGAGTTGCCCTGGTAACTCAGCGGGTAGATCGCTCGCCCAGTGTGCAAAGTGTAGTGGGTTTGAAAAAGAAAAGTTATAGGTCTTGTTTTCCTTTGCTTTGCCTTGACCTAGTAGGTTTACATTGAGCAAACTTTTCAAAAAGGTTGCATGTTCTCTGCATCAGAACAGGAGTGCATCGATGATGCCAATCATGTTAGTGTTATTACAATTAGTTATGAAAATGTTTAAGGGCTCAGGTGAAGTACAATGGACTTGAATGTTACAGTACATGGTTTTTGTGTTTTGATTGTCCTCTAACATTAAAACTTGGTACCTTAATGTACTATGATAAAATTTCATCGAAACATATTAAACAACAACAACACTTTTATACTATGGTGAAAGAAACAGGTGAACGACAACAAACAGTCTGAGCAAAGGCCACTACTAATGCTACTTTATTATGGGCATTGTGCCTCAAATATATTGCACACCATGAATGCGAATGCAGTACAAAGAGGGAAAGGAGACAAGTAAATGAAAAATTCTTTGAATGAAAAACACTAAAGTGCAAACCCTTGGCGAACTGCGCATGTGCGGTACCGCTAATTGATGGGCTGGACTATTAGTATGTGTTTGCTCATGGTCTCCCGCTCCGTTAGTAGCTCGCGGAGAGTCTGACACGGGCTAGCTACAGTAGTAGATAGCATGCGGGAGTCAATACACGGCCTTCGCTGTGACTTCTTGTGCCTTCAAGATACACAGAGCAAGCAGACCCAGTCGAGGTAAGCCTGTGCTAATTAGCGTATTGGCTTGTTCATTTGGTTTTCACGCTGTTTTTACGAAAATCAACATTTTAAATATGAAACCGGCGTAGCGCTGAACCTGTTGGTGTCGCTTTTTGGCTGATTTGTTGCGTGTGGTTGCAGAAAACGTGGTAACAGACTGACACAAAGACCAAGTACTGTAACCCTTGCGCATGCGCGCTGAGGGCAAATCAAAAGCGCAAACCCTTGGCGAACTAGAAGTGCACGCACGTAAGTATACGCTTGTGCGGGTACTGCTAATTAATAGGCCTGGCTATTTTACTACTACACTCGTGGTCTCTTGCTGGCTTGCCCAGAGTTGTCATGGGCTGGCTACAGTACTTGGAGTAGATACTCACCTACGTTGCAACTTCTATAGCAAGCGCACCTGTTACAAGTGCTAATTTTCATATTGGCTTGTTCACTTTATTTTTATGCTATACGTTTAGAACACAGTACTTTTACAATGAAAAGCACTAAGTGCAAACCCTCGGCGAACTGCGCATGCGCGGTACCACTAATTGATGGGCTGGGTTTTTTATGCCTTTACTATGTGGTATCCCGCTAGTAGCTCGCGGAGAGTCTGCCACGGGCTAGCTACAGTAGTAGATAGCATGCGGGAGTCGATACATGCCCTTCGTTGTGACTTCTTGTGCCTTCAAGATACGCAGAGCGAGCGGACGCGACGGAGGTAAATCTGTGCTAATTTGCATTTTGGCTTGTTCACTTGCCTTTCACGCCATAACTTTTGAACGCAGAAGTTATATCAAAATCGCCTTTTTTAAAATGAGGCCAGTGTAGCGATGAACCTGTTCGTGTCGCTATTTCGCATTGCGCGTAGTCGCAGAAAACGTAGTAACAGACGAACGGACAGACACACTCACGAACCAAGTACCGTAACCCTCGCTGCGCATGCACGCCGAGGGTTAACAATTGCCTACTTCAAAATGGAAAGCATTGAAGTGCAAAAGTGCCATTTAGCCAGTGTGGCACTGAACCCGTTGGTGTCGCTTTTTGGCCGGTTTGACACGAGCGTTGATGTGTACTCATGCGTATAAATAATTGATGGGACAGAATGTGCCACACCACACGGTCTAACCTGTCAGCATAGCCAGTTTCTCGTTTCAGCACAGACTAGCTGGATCAGTGGGTAACGTGTAGAGCAACGCTTGACTGGGTATACATCACCAGAGTATTTTTATCCCTTCACCTTCGTAGCCTGTAGTGCCAGAACAGACTAACATAGAAACACACAGACGTAGCCCTTTATGTACTCTATGACAATTTTTGTGACTTGCAGAAACACACTGCCTGAAAAACACTAAATTGCAAACCCTCGGCGAACTGCACATGCGCGATACCGCTAATTGATGGGCTGGGTATGCGTTTACCGTGGTCTCCCGCTAAGCTCACGGAGAGTCTGACACGGGCTAGCTACTGTAGTAGATAGCATGCAGGAGACGATACACACACGGGACGGCCCCAGGTACACGGAGCAAAGTGGACCCGGTGGAGGTAAGCCTGTGCTAATTTGCATATTGGCTTGTTCACTTGCTTTTCATGCCATAACTTTCGAACACAGTATTTTTATACTAAACCCGTTACTATTGCTGTTTCTCCGATTTCTTGCGCGTGGTGGCAGAAAACGTGGCAACAGACAGACAGACAGACACACTTACGAACCAAGTAGTGTAACCCGCCGAGGGTTATAATACTTGGTTTGTCATTCCGTCCGTCCGTCTGTCTGTTACCACGTTTTCTGCTACCACGTGCAACAAACCAGCCAACGGGTTCGGCGCTACACTGGCTTCATTTTTAAAATGGCGGTTTTCGTAAAAGTGCCGCATTCAAAAGTTATGGCGTGAAAACCAAGTCAACCAGCCAATATGCTAATTAGCACGGGCTTACCTCGACCGGGTCCACTCGCTCTGTGTATTTTGAAGGCACAAGAAGTCACAACGAAGGGTGTGTATCGACTCACGCATGCTATCTACTGCTGTAGCTAGCCCGTGTCACACTCTCCGTGAGTTACTATTGGGAGACCACGAGTAAAAACCCCAGCCCATAAATTAGTGGTACCACGCATGCGCAGTTCACCGAGGGTTTGCACTTTAGTGCTTTTCATTATTATAGGAAGTGTTCTGTACGACTAATATTTAATTTTCGACAACTGAATTACTTGCTGAACTCGCGGGAGTTCTCAAGAATCTATGTAAGCTATTAGAGATCAAAAGTTTTTACATATTCGTATATAGCAGTGGGATTGCTAGTTTCAAGTCTAGGCTTTCTTTCAGGCCCTCTGCCTGAAAAGCAATGTTGTCAGACTTATTATAATGTTAGACCAGTACATACTCTACAGCAACCTGGTACTAATCATGTGCTCAAGACTTAGTGGCTATGGTATCCGTGGCTCTTACCTTGCATCCTCAGCGTGAGCAAAACAAATATAGCCAGTTGACTACTCTGGTGCCATCACTGCCAACCAACCATAGCGATGTAACCTCGTAGCCTGCCGTCCATTTTAAATAATTTCCGACACCGCCGCTTATTCCCTTTACATAGAAGTGGTTATGTATATAAGTGGTTCTGTAATTATGCATCACACCTAGTCAGATTTTTATATCCATAGCAGCAGCAGTAAACTGACGCGTGCTTTAGCATGTGCTTATTCTTTCTTGTAACGGCATAGGAAAAGTCACATTCAAACTCTTAATGAGCATCCTCTCATATTTAGGGGAACTCTAGTGGGGTCTTGAGATCCATACTGCACTCAACTACCTACGCCTTTTGAACAACAAGCGTGGGAATAGGGCACTGTTATATTGAGAGGCCGGGCTATGCCACCCTGTCGACAGTTTCTTGCTCTAACACAGGCTGTAATATAACTGCCTCATAAGGTAGCGTTTAGAGCATCGCTACACATCCCTTGAGTAACCTCAATATTGTGCTCAATGGCTGGTCAAGCTGAGCCTGTCCTGCTTCAGCACATTGCTTTTTCACACCATATCTCTTGAACGCAGTCGTTTTAAGGAACATCACTTATTACCCTCGGCGCGCATGCGCAGTGAGGGTACGGTAGTTGGGTCTGTGTGTCTCTCTGTTACTCTACATCTCACTTCTCGAGTGTTTGTTCGTCTCACAAAGGATACGACCTACTTAACGGGTAATGAAGGTCAGAAATTTTGTGCGGTTTTCTCTGAAAATGCTCCGTTGCAGAGCTAGAGCGCTTCCAGCATTGTACGGCTAATGCGTAGTCGGCCATTTTTATCGCTGCGGAAAATGCGCATGCGGTTATTATGCTAATTCGACCGGACCCGCTTGCTCTGTGTATCTTGAAGGCACAAGAAGTCACAACGAAGGGCGTGTATCGACTCCCGCATGCTATCTACTACTGTAGCTAGCCCGTGTCAGACTCTCCGCGAGCTATACTAGCGGGAGACCACCACGAAATAGCCCAGCCCATCAATTAGCAGTACCGCGCATGCACAGTTTCGCCGAGGGTTTGCACTGTAGTGCTTTTCATTTTTGCATTGGTAGTTCTAAAGTCGTTTGTATTTTTATAGGCTGCCTAGTAGTGTGTAGTAGCTGCAGGCAAACGACAGACACAACTAAATACTGTAATTTTCGCTGCGCATGGTGTGCCTACGGTACCCAACAAGGATTACACAGTGTCACTCTCAATTGCTTTTGATCTATCTAGAAGGGGGAGTCTTCACTGATGATTGCTGCTAAGAATGGAGAAACTGAGATAGTTTCTAAGCTGGTGAAAGCTAGAGCTGCACTGGACCTAAAAACCAATATGTGTATATGCATTGCGTCATGCTAAGCGTCACTGTATTATCATTTCATTTTTTAGGGAGGAGACTCAGCTGTGATCTTTGCTACTGCACACTGCTATTTGCCAGTCTTAAAAGAGTTGGTCAGAGCTGGAGCTGACCTCAATCTTTGCAACCAAGTAAGGAGCATCCATTATGATGTGTCATTAATGGTTCCTACCCCTCTATATCATGAAGGGTTAACTGCTCTCATGATATCCTCAAGACCTGGCACAACTGATCTCACAGAGACACTCCTGGCAGGAAAAGGGATCTCCCTTGATGCCCAGACTGTATGCTTACTGTCTTCTATATCTGTTAAATTGTAACTCCTATTGTTAACAGGATAATGGGTGGTCAGCTCTCTTCTTTGCTGTTGATAAAGGAGATGTAGCATCAGCAGAATTATTACTTAGGGCAGGAGCTGACCCTCACCTAAACGATACTGTATGGAACTATAGCGTCATTAGAACACTGACATTTTGTAAAGTTAATATCCTCTCAGAACGGACTGACAGTTTTGGATGTGGCAATTGCCAATGGTCACACAGCTGTGTATCAGCTTCTGAGAAAACACATCCAGAGAGCAGTCATTGAAGGCAAAGTCTTGGATTCATCTCTATGTGCTCAGACACCAGATACCATGCCTGTGGAGTTGGTTCAAACACCAGAAGTTATGTTGCAACGTCAGGTAATATATGTAGTGCCACAGTATTGCGGGTTGTACCCCGGTTAGGCCCAACCCAACATAAAAGAATGCCGCGATGCCAAGTTTGTACTGCCCACGTGCAATATAGAGGGAGGTGCATGGGGAATTGAATTCAAGGAAGCAATGTATGGCTAAGGGAAGGAATGCAGAGAAGTGTATCAGATATGCAGGGACCTAGAAAGTCGCTTTGTATGAAACACTGTGCCTAGTGTCAAAGGAGCCACCGAGCTAAAGAAGTATGTGACTAGGCCTTGGGCTGCTGGTTCATAGAACACGTGTGCACTGTTCTTGACTCTTGCTGCGGCTGTACTCGAGATTTCCGTCGTCGTGAGGGATGTCCAGCATTGCCATCAAAGGCATTATATAGTAATCTAACCCCTAGCTCTTGCCCTATACTGTGTTTGAACAAATAAAAACAGTGATGTAAAAGTGATGTAATGTCTCGCTTATCTTGTTTCTTGTTGGCAATACTGTACATGTATGGTTGTTGTGGCAGTACTATCTGTTGCTGGCATTTCACTTGGGCCATGTATTGTGTTCTTGCTCATAGCAAGCGACACCCTTTCCTTTACGCACCAATGGCGAGCCTTGACTAGGCATATGACCTCATAGCGTCATAGTAATGATCAAAGGGAACAATGCCTCATTCGCATAATACACACTCAGTAGTATTACGTAAGCCCTCCGGATTATGTAATATTTACCGTGTGTGTATAGGTGCAAATGTTTTATACCATGTTCTTTTTCCGTTGCGTTAAGTTGACCCTATGGGTGTGCTTTATGCCCCAATTGTGAGGCCAGGCAGTGCCCCTCCCACGATTACTAGCTAGTCAGCCATGTGCACAACTACCTCAGTCTCATTAAGCTGTGCTTGTAGCGTGACATCTGTTTTTGAATACAGGAAGTAAAACATCTGGTGAAGAAATCAAGAGAGAAAGCAGAAAAAGCATTAAATCGTTTTGACCCAAAGGTAAGAGACCTACGTAGAGAGAGAAATGAATTCCTATGTAAGTGTATACTTTTTCATACAGTGTGTATTCAAAAAAACTTCCCACGAATGGCCCACAGCTACTCCCGTTTACTCTTGTTTGCACCCTGTTCGACTTCTGTTTGTGCCGCATTCGACTCCGTTCGCATCCTGTTTGCTTTATGACGAACATGTTTTTATTATGTGCACGGCGTAACGTATCGCTCTGTGTTTCTCAGCATTTTCGTAGAGAGAGGCTCTATTGCGTGCTCCTGCTATGTATCTCTATGTATCTCTAAGCTTTTTGCCAAGGAATGAATCGTTGCGAGCCGCAGATGCGTCTATGTGTTGACAGGGGGGCTGCGGCCAGGAAGCGGCAAAAATGACACATGAAGTCAGATAGAGGGCTGACGATGAAGAGCAGTAGCAAGTCATCAGGGACAACTAACACAATGTTTTGCAGATCTTCGCTCCATTGGACGTGCATTGGGCGAGTCCCTACCAAGCGAGTCGAGGCTAGGCCCATTCTCGACGTCCTCCCAGGCCCTGTCACTCCACTTCCTAACGAGAAAGTCACGGAGAAAGTAGCAGTCTTTCGCAGTTTTTACCTGCAGCAGAGCACGCATGCCTTCAACACAAGATAAAAGTGGCCGGTCCGCTCACTTCCCTGCTTATGCCCTGTTGCCCCCCATTTACTTGAACGCACCTGTTTAACGGGCCATTCAGAAGTTTTGTACTTCAGTTAAATTATTTTCAAACACACACAGTGGCCTGTACTGATGAGAGCTATAGCAGGGGAAAGAACCGAAGCTGTTTCACCACTACTACAAACTGTAATGAACATAGACAGACAGAATGAGGTGAAAGCCCTTTGCTGCTCAGTGAAGATGTTTGCTATATAGTTTTTTTTATAGAATGGAGAATCAGCATTGATAATGGCCGTCATAAAGAATAACACTAAAGTTGTATCACTGCTGGTGAAGGCTGGAGCTTCACTGGACATCCAGGATAAGGTAGAAGTGTTTTCCACAATTTTGAAAATAACTACCACAAGAAAGGTATTTGTTGGGACATTATTATACAGTCGGTCCACATGACAGCACTATGCTAGTGATCACATGCACAGCAATGGGATTGTTAGTATGTACAGCATCCCCTTCATACAAGGTTAGTGATGTCAACCATCTATAGAGCATGCACGGGAATTTGCTGAATGACTGAGAAAGCATGAAAGTTTAAACCACTCTTCTTTATTTATATACACAAATCGCAATAATAATTCACTGGACTAGTGGATTACAGATGTCAGTTTTGTTGTGGTAAGGTGACTTATGTGCTGTTTTTATTGAGGGTCTACTTTTGTGCACCTGTGTACGGTATACGGAGATTTATTGAAAAATGGAAAGTGTATACGCGTGCAAAATTCCTTAATCCTGACCCGACTTCCAGTTTAGTAGACCCATTCATGGAGTGTTTATTTTGCCAAGTTTCAAGCTGCAGCCCTAACACGTCTCGCCGGCAGAGCTCACTGACCGCGAAAGGTTAGAACATGACCCGTGCAACAAAGGTGCGGTGGTTAAACACAAGACATTTTCGTGCCCCCCTCTGAGTGCTTCGAAAAATGTCCTACAATCTCGTGTTACTGGCAGTCTATCTGAGACCCAACAGGTTCGCTGCAAGTGGCGCCACAGAGCATCTCAACCTCAAACTTAATCCAACTCCATGCATCCTCAAATTCCATCCTACTCCATGCACTCTCTCTAATCACCTCCGTACACCTCTTGCGTTGCTGTATTGGACCTACACCGTCCTGTGGGAGTGACATGAACTGTGCACAAGGTGTCTCTAGAGTAAACTCGGCCATTGAAGTACACTGACAAAGGTCAACACTCGTCACTGCGCAGTAGCTCCTGCTACCACATACTGCAAATTCACAAACACCTCACAAATGTGACTACGTAGCATTATGTTGTAAATGGGGGGGGGCACAAGCAATGCCCTGAGTTGAACCTCACCTTTGTTGCACATGTCGCGATCTGAGATGCTTCAGGGCTTTAACTTAAAACTCGGTATATCAAGATTCCATGCATTGGTCTACCAACCCGCTGTGTAGTTTTTTGAAACTCACAGGGAGTTCGGTAGCTGCTAATTAAATGAAGGAATGTCTTCACATAGAACCTTAATATATCTTCATATACTGTACACTGGCAATTCGACCAGGCGTTCGCAACGTTAAGAGCCACTCGTTACAGCTTATGCCACAAATTATTGGACAGCACCCATGCACGGAGAGTGTCAACCAATCTTTCCTCTTTTTCGTGCTTTTGTCTCTATTGTGGGGGTTCTACTTTATGGTTAGGCTTATTATAGTTGTTCCTTGATTGCTTATAAACTGTAAAACTACACACTGCCCAGTGGGACGAGAATATTATGACACCTGTACAAACTACAGCATTCTTGTTGGCGGTTTGAGTCTTCTAGGCTCCAAAGTTTGTAAACAGAAGCTGTGGGGAGAGACTAACCTGTTTTTATTCTCAGCTCTACTTTGACGGCCAGAAGCATAGCAAAACAGATGGCTTCTATTGTCTTTAGCTGCACATTAGGTCCTTAGGCGACACACCTTGACTTCACCTCGTAAATCTCTTTTAGAGAAGCTGGCGTTATTTATGATAGAGCCTTCATTTGCAAAAGGTTTAAGAAGAGGTTCGAAGGCTGAGTAGTGCTACAACGTATATACATAGAGTGTTAGTAATTTGCAGCTTACGCTACCACCTTCCTCATTTTTATGTCTGTCTCTCACATTTTTTATACAGTATGGCTACTCTGCACTAATGTGGGCCAAGAATGAGGAAATAGTTTCACTGCTGCTACAAGCTGGAGCTAATACCGACCTACAGAATAAGGTTAGAGGTGGGCCGCCAACACAAAAGCAAGTAGCTTGAAATCAGGCCACTATTTTACAACTGATAACTCACCAAATTTTGCCTGCAAGCACATGCGCTTCTACACTAACTTTGCCAGTATCAAAGGAAGTAACGAGAGCAAAGCTGCCTGTACAACTATTATGCTGTAGGATACTACATCGTCTGGTTTATGAGTACCTGGAAGAGCTTGGATCTTGTGACTGCCTATGCCACCACCTTGCTGGCACAGGAACATGATCAACCAGTATCAGCCTTCTAACCACTATTCTTGCACACAGACAGCCACTAAGCGATACTTAGGAATCGATGTATTCCTGAAACAGCGTCATTTAAGAGTTGTGGCTAGATACACCATTATTTACTTCACAGGAATGAACTTCCTGAGAGTGCAGTCTAGTAAGGCTACACAAGGATGCTACTACTAGCTTGTGTTTAGATCAAGTAGTGTGGCGTCACAAATATTTTTACATGCATTTTTAAAGTGACCGTGTGTTGACACTGTCAACTGATGTATGTATGGTGGGTAGCCAGTCTTGTAAGTAACCTTTTTTCTAGTGGGGAGACTCTCTACTTATGATGGCTGCCAGAGAGGGTAAAACCGCCATTGTTTCTAATCTGGTAAAGGCTGGAGCTGCACTTGACCTTCAGAATGAGGTTTATTTAAACTTAACATAGGTTTTATCACCAAATACAGTAGTACTTGGTATATAGGGATGACACACATGTTGTCCTGCATAATGCCCATACATTTTTAATAATTATCATTCCGTTTCAATCACATCCAACTTCTGACATATCAATCAGATCTGTATCGTAAAAAAAAGCATGTACCCAAGAAATGGCTTAAATCGCATATTCAGTAATTGATATTATTCAAGAAAGTTAGTTTTCAAAATTTTCCTTCTTGTTGTATCTCAAAAACTAGGCAAGATATGGGGATGAAACTTTGCACAAAGTTTGGAATACATGACCCGGCATGCAAGAGCCTTTTAATTTGTTTGTAAACAATGTTATTTACATGTAAACAACAAAGAATAGCCCCAGGCCATACATTATGATTGAGACCAATAAAGTATAATAACTAACTGACAATACCCAGAATGATAAAACTTTGTACACACCATCATTAGTATCAAAATGTAATCATTACAAGTTTGTAGACTACAAAAAAACAGCCTCAGGCAATAAAGGCTTGTGTAAATGGTGTTTTGCTGCTTATGCTGGGTCCTCCAACAATGAAACTTGCCCTTATGTACTTAGGAGGTAAAAGAAACATGGGAACTACATACGACAAACTGAGGCAATACACACACAGGACGCTAATGCTAGTTTTTATGTGGGCATTATGCCCAAAAAGTCTTTTGCATGTCATGCATGTGAATGCAGTAAAAAGGAAAGGAGACAAGTAAATACAAAATTCTTCGAATTAAAAAAGGTGTGGAATATAGGGATGAAAAGAGACAAGACAGGGATGACCTTGCAGTACATTGGATGATGCTTCAAACTTACATCTTTTGCACGTGTAAATTTCAAGCCCTATATTGTCCCCACTCTTAGTTTAGTGAATGATGTAGTGTGAAGACTGGCAAATGGATTCTGTATAGAAAGCAGCATTGTAAAACTGGTTAGTTGAGCGAACATTGAAGTCATAGACTACAAAATACAGTCACGGTTCAAAACAAAGGACCTGTCAGAGAGGGCATTAGCACCAGTCTTACATGCATAGGAAATGAGTCATAACTGCACATCATACGATAGAGATCAGTCGTGCTTTGCGACAATATAGGGCTTGTTTGGAGTAAATTTACACGAGCAAAAAATGGAAGTGAAGAAGATGTAACCGTCATCCATACTACTGCATCACATGCACTAGGCTTATGGCATCCCTATATTCCACACTTTTAATTCGAACAATTTTTTTATTTACTTCTTAAATTCTAATTACGCAGCGGGGAGAATCTGTACTGATGATGGCTGTTAGTTGGTGGTGGGATAATCCATTCATATTTCCACTGCTACTGAAGGCTGGAGCAAACACTGATTTACAGAATGAGGCAAGGCCAATAGTATAATATTCTCACCTAGATCTGTCTATCATTACACAGCGAGGAGACTCTGTGCTAATATTGGCAACTAGGGAGGGAAGAACTGAAGTTATTCCACAACTGGTGAAGGCTGGGGCTGCACTTGATCTTCAAGACAATGTTTGTTTGTTTGTGTTTTCTGGTTGGTCAATCATGTGATATACTCACAGTGGGGAAACACTGCACTGATGATGGCTGCCAAAGAAGGAGGAAATAACATCGTTTCACTGTTACTAAAGGCTGGAGCCAACCCTGACCTTCGGAATATTGTATAAATTATTATTCTGAAACCACTGATGCTCATTTTGTCTCATCATGCAGGATAAAGCAACTGCACTGATCATGGCCGTGGAAGAGGGTAGGACAAGGATAGTCTCCATGCTCGTGAAGGCAGGGGCTGCTCTGGATGGCCAGAATAAAGTAGGATATATGCAGACTTTATTTTATGTTTTGGTGTTGTACAAGCGATAACAGGCCGGTCAGGGTGGCATGCGAATTATACGCCCGAGTGTGCCTGAGTGCATTTAGCATTCCTGAACAAGGGCACATAACCGCAAGCAACCTGCAACTAGAAGGTATAGCCTTTTCGGCACCTTTGATCTGCATGCTAACTGGGCTACAAGTATAGCTTAGATTATATGAAAAGCACTAATGTGCAAACCCTCGGCGCACTGCGCATGTGCGGTACCGCTAATAATGGGCTAGAGCTTATGGGTATGCATTTACACATGGTCTTGGCCATGCTACTAGCTCTTGGAGAGTGGCCAGCTACACTTCATGCGGAAGTTTATACATGCCCTTCGTTGTGCCTTCACCTCCTGTGCGATTGGCCTTTTCGCTTGTTTTCACAGCTTGAATTTTAGGCTTGCATAGTTATGAAGCCATTCTCATGGGCCCCCTCATAGCGTGTAGTGCCAGAATAAACAAACAAACAAACACAGACAGACGAAGTACTGTAAGTCGCTGCATATGCACGCCGAGGGTTAATAATTGACTATTGACCAATGGAGAACCTTAGATTGACATGGTCCTGCTACTGTTCCTTGGTTCAAAAGGTGGTCAGGTGGCCCATATTGCTTGTACAATCATTTCTCCGCGAGGGTTTGCACTTTAGTGTTTTTTATTTTGCAATGCATAGTATAGTGCATTGCTCACTTGAAGTGCTATTGGCATCACAGAGAGGCGACTCTGCAGTAATCTTAGCCACGGTGTACAGGCATCTACCAATACTAAGAGAGCTGGTCAGAGCTGGAGCTGACCTCACCGTCATACCAGGTAGTAACAGTGATTCTACATTGTGTCTGATTTCTTCTCGTGCTCTCCTGCTATTAGGAGGGGCTGACAGCATGTGGTCACGGACCTGTCATCAGTTATTAAGAAAACACAAGTCCGGTCATGCATGTGAGTCTCCTGTGTTAGTGCAGTGTCATATAGCTCTGGTAACAGACGCAGGTCTCAGGAGGTAAAGTAGAAGTCTCTCCCCACTACCCTCAAGTCAGGAGCCTCCTAAACCAGCAAACGCATCTCTGTATCAGCTGGCTCATCTCAGGAAATGACAACGGCAGTAAAACCTGAAGAGTTAGTCAGACACCTGCAGTCACATTGCAACAACAAGTATCTCAGTAGGTATCCAATCCCTATATATCCCAATATTCGGCTCTGCTTTTGCACAAACAAACAGGGTATAAAAGATTTGGTGAGTAATGCGCTAGCCTAGAGCAAGCAGGCATTCAATCGTCTGGAGCGCCGCATATTCAGATCTGAAAAGATGTTTAAGATTCAGCAAAGGAACCAGAGCTCCGAGGTCACTGGGAGGAGAAGGAAAAGCATAAGACCATTTTCTATGAGCAGTGATGTCTCCAATCTACAGTGACTTTTGTGCATGTACATACAATATATCTTTAGTTTGTCGAGTTATACTGCCTTTCCCCGTGGACGATCACCTATACTTTAGTTTCTGGGAGGTATTACCACACCCCTAACTCTTCTATTACATAATATCATCCGCACAGTCCTCTTGGTGTGTGGTCTATGGTCCAAGTGCCTGCTGATAATACTAGGCGAAGGTTTTAGTAGTGGGACATGACTGTACATGTGTTGTCAGCCCGGTTGATGCAGCGATCACAACAAATGGAACTCGGGTGGTTTAGGTTCAGAAGACTCTATTGTACAGATTTAGATGTTGGGGTATCAAATCCAATATTGGGAGTACGATTATTATGCTGGTCAGCCAGTTGCCCTTGGACTTGAATGTAAACCCAATTTTGTATTGTTGTTTACACTTGGCTGAATAATTAACCCTCGACGCGCATGCGCAGCTAGGGTTACGGACTTGGTTCGTAAGACTATATTATAGTGAGTCTGTCTCTGTTCGTCCGTTACCATGTTTTCTGCGACTATAATTATTAACCCTCAGCGCGCATGCGAGGGTTATAGTACTTGGTTTGTCATTCTGTCCGTCTGTCTGTTACCACTTTTTCTCCCGCTACGCGCAACAAGACGGCCAAAAAGCGATACCAACGGTTCAGTGCCACACTGGCTTTATTTTTAAAATAGCGATTTTGCTAAAAATGCTGCGTTCGAAAGTTATGGCGTGAAACAAAGTGAAAGAGCTAATATGGAAATTAGCACTGGCTTACCTCGGCCAGCTCTGCGTACCTTGGAGGCACCAGAAGTTGCAACGCAGGACGAGTATCGACTCCCGCGTGCTATCTAGCAGTGTAGCAAGCCTGTGACCGACTCTCAGCGAGCTGGTAAGCGACCACGAGTCAGTAAAACGGTAAAATTGGACCAGCCCACCAATTAACAGTGCCGCGCATGCGTACGGTATTCTAGCGTGTACGTTATCTGCATCTACACTACCTTGCATGGGACAAGGCTGCGTAGAAAAGCATTGCAGGTGCTACAGCCTGCCAGAGTAAGAAAATGTTAATATCCTGCTCCTCCCCCACACCATTCAGACATCAGAATGTGCACAGGGTGAGCATACTGATGTAGCCAGCCCAGACATTAGCTATGTACATGTACGCATGTGTATACAAATTAATCGGCCCACTGCGTCAGGGTTAGCACTTCAGTGCCTTTCATTATACGCGAAATGAGACAACAAACAAAACAGCGATATATATACCAACGGGTTCATCGCTACACTGGCTTTTAGTTTTCGTATAACTACTGCGTTCAAAAGTTATGGCGTGAAAACCAAGTGAACAAGCCAATTGCAAATTAGCACAGGCTTACATCGACCGCGTCCGCTCGCTCTGTGTATCTTGAAGGCCTAGGTAGAAGTCGAAGTCACAACGAAGGGCATGTATCGACCTCGCATGCTATATACTACTGTAGCCGTGTCACTGAGAATCTCCGCGAGCTACTAGCGGGAGTAAAGGGCACAGCCGGCAATAGTGGTACCGCGCATGCGCAGTTCGCCGAGGGTTTGCAGCTTTAAGCTGGGTGGTTGCCATAACCATAATTATATTTGAACAAACATGAGCACCTTTAATAACGGTAATGTAAACTAGTTACAAAATTAAAAATTAGCTTACATAAGACAATGACTATAATGTTCAACGGTATAGTGGGAAGTTTATACACTTAGTGCTGTTTCTGTTGAGCTTGAAACTGTACGATGTATTTCCAGGTAGAAGCAGTTTGAGCCAGGGTGATATCTTCAGGGAGTTCATCAAGATCTAGTGAAGGGTCCAGGTTGCTGGCCTCCAGATGAGGTGGAAGGGTGTCCACCAAACTAAAAAGAGCAAAGAAAAAATGGAAAGAGGTTTCGTGAAATATTGGAGCATACAAACACCATAGTACCAAAAAGGAGCATTAGAGCAAGCAGGTTCAATGATGTCAGCATGGTTAATGCAGCACCCTGACACTCATGAAATGCTCTCACGAAACAATCTCAACATTGAAATAGTCTCAAGAAACAATCCCAACATTGTTACTTGGTGTGCCTTGTGGCAACGCTCTACGACTATGTTGGAGGTAGGATCACTCGTAGGCTGGGACTAGAAACCTTATTGAGCAAAAAGGAAAACAAGAACATGTTACATACCCCAAGAGAAATGAAAAGCACTAAAGTGAACCCTCAGCGAACTACAAACATGTGTGCATATGTAAACGCGTATCTACTATTTACTTTTTGAGTTATGTCAGATTAGAAGAAGAAAACACAGCATCATATATACATCTATGACGCTAGGTACCATCCCCATCCTTATACTGATAATCTTGCTCCTGATCTTACACTTGCTAGACTGAGAGAATGTTGATGAGTGAAGAAGAGGAAGAAGGGTAAAAATGCCTACCAATGAGATTCCAACCCCCACCTTAGCTATTTGGACAAGTGAGGATTAGGTGAATGCAGTGAATTTTTGGCGAGCGGTCCAACTAACGGTTGTGTGCGTGCCAAATAGTGGTTACGTCTCCGATCCACCGGTCAGCGATTCTCATCCAGATGATCATGCTGCACGCCACGCTCTCTCCCGTGCCCTACGTTGTGACAGGTGCGTCTCCCTCTCCTTGGTCGTCTCAGAAGCAAGACTACGTTGTGACAGGACATCTCCCTCTCCTCGGCAGTCTCAGAAGCAAGACGCTGTCTCCCGCGAGCACGGTCCATTGATTGTCGCTGCTGTCGGGCCTCCATGGTTTCTGAAGCGCGGCAATGTCTGTCTCGCATATCCTCTGTCTCTCTCTCTCTCTGCGCCTAGCCAAGCGCCTCTCCCTGCTTTTCCGTAGCGGGGGTTGAAGCTCGTATGCTCCATCACGATTTCACATAAACTGCAGCTGGCACTATACACGTGGTAATATTGTATTACTACCAGCTTCCGTTACACATTACGGTATCGGTGGCAGCGTCGTCGGATAGAAACAAATAAATAAATAAACAGAAAATATATACCTCACCAGTGGCAGGTAGGTCTTGACTACGCATGATTAGTTTGCTTTTGCCGATCTTCAATGAATTTTATGTGAATGCTCTCAATGAAATCTTTGGGGCCTGATAAAGTACAGTTATCCCCCAACAATCAATTATCGCTTTTAGGTGTTTTCTATGCAATGGAAGATACAACAGACTAGACCTAGACTAGACAGACAGAGACAGACAGACAGAGATGGAGACCAACAGATAGACAGACAGGTGCTCACCCCCACTCCTTGTTCATGTCTATGTGTCTGGTGTAGGTTTCAATGAACTCGTACAGTGTTCCCAGCAGAGCTGACAGGTCAACCTTTGGAAGAGCTCGATCCAGATGTTTACATTGGGTCTCTGCTAATGGTTGCAGGAGCTCTTGATTCAGAGTATGGAATGGCTCCTGCATTATAATTATGCATTGGTTGAATGCAAACATTTTCGGAAGTTGGAGTCATACAGACTGTCAAGCCAGCTATGTGCATCCACATGCACACAAAATAAATGGGTAGGGTCACTCGGGGAAAAACACTATGGCACACATTTCGGTTCCTTACCAAAATTTGTACAATCAAATCAGAAAGCAGCTGTCATGTGATCATGGCGTCGAATGTATGACAAAAACCCACCATGCATGTGCAATGGGCAAATTATATCATGTGACTGGACCACTCCCGACAGTGTTTGCCACAGAGAGAGAATGTGTTCTAAATTGCAGTGTTCCTTGGCCTGCAGGAAACGAGGTATCAGTCATGTGTAGGTAATGCATCAAACTATATTGATTACTTTCTTGCTGAAAGACCTCTTCTCCATCTTTAACTTTCTGAGGTAGGAGCGAAGTGTTGTCTTTGGTTTCCCTCCTCCTGACGTCAGGAAACCGAGGACTATCTCAACCACATCCAAAGACCTCCGAAGCTTGTCAGGCGATCCCAGCTCTCGTAATATGTCCTGCTGCACTCTCTGCTGCAAGGCACTCTGCACATAACATAACACAAAGTGGTATATACAAAACAGCAATTTAGCCTGAAATATTACCTGTGGTGCCACCTTCTTTCTCACGGCAGCAAATTTGGCTGCAGTGTAGATATCCTCCTGGTAGCTGACATGGGGGATATCGACCAGGATGGTGGGCTTCCCATGGATAAAGCGGTCCAGGATATATTTCTCCAGGGCTGGGAGGTCGTAGGAGACCTCACGACCCTGGCCCAAACGGAGGGAATAGTGGCAGTGAGAAAGAAGGATGGATGTGAGCTGGCTCTGGTAGTCCAAGAGGTGGCACTTGTGGGTGTGGGCTAACTGGATCTTGTGCTCATGCCATGCACTACAGTGGAAGGAGAAATGAGCGTTGCAAAGTATTAACAGTCCTTCCTCACCTTGTCTTGCTCTTGGCTCGACACCAGTCAATAAAGTTGTTGTGAATGTATGAGAGGTAATGGACGAGGGAAAAAGTGCATGCCCCTGGACCAGTGGTGGTTGGAATGAAAAACTCCAGAGCGGTGGTCAACCCTAGGTCCTCCTTAAGGTACTCTTCCTCCACCTTCAACTGGCCTATATACACAGCAGCATGAGTGAAGTAACAATATTATGGTGCGTGTGTTTCCGTCACCGTGGTCTTTAAGTTTGTCTCTGACAAGTAGCCAAGCACGTTGCACGCTAGCAACCATCTTCTGATACTCATTCAACAGATTCTCTGAAAATGTGGCTTAGTCTGCGTACCAACACAATTTCACTGACATATACATACCTGTGCGGTGCCGTACAATAAAGTCCCGCATGGACATTTTGTGGGCCATCTTGCGATCAATGCGGTGGTGCATTTCATCAAAGAGCAGCTTCTGCAGTCGCACTATGTCTGGAATATACTGAGTGGCTTGCAGAACTGTCTCCTACAAAACACAGTTAAATGATGTATGCTTGACTGCATAATACAGACAAAATACATTTTTGAGAAACTCTTCCAATATGGGAAACTTCTTCTTCTGCTGCTGCATGTATCTGACGAGGTGCTCAAGTGTGATGCGAGGCCTATAGCCCCACATATGTGGCTCCAGACTGTCCTTCACCACAGGTGTCCCGCTCGTACACCAGATAGTACAGAGGATCATGATCTGCATGAAAGTGAGGCTCACAACTAAGAATTGTGTTAGGAAAATAACACTTGCCTTGTTTATCATCATTCAGGATAGTTGCCATTGCAGAGGTCAATTCAGATTCCAGCTTCTAAATTAATTAACTTAACTCAAGAGTATATACAGAGAGATTATAATGACCTCAAGAATGGGGTTGATATAGAGCCCACTGAACTGTTTCTCCCACTGGTTACGGACATCTCTTTTCCCTAGTATTCCTAGAGGTATGGCAGGACTGGGAGGGTTAGTGGTGAGAATGTTCCTCAGAACAAGATGAACCACAATGGCAGCATCCTCGGGGTTCTTCCCCCAGGGCCCTAGCTAGCAGCTGCACATCTCTCTCCAGGTGACTCCAGAAGAACTCGGGAAGCTCCCGTGGACTGTGGAGACCTGACTTGACTAGTGCCAGCAGACCTTGTGTGGCACTGTCATCGTTACAGCTGGTCCACAGTAGGGCAGTACGGCAATTGGGTGAATGTGGTTAATTGGTTGCACACACACACACAAGGGTAAAATAATACAACTGTTCGGTATGTGCCACAGCACCCAACAACTGCTGGATAGATACAAATGGAAAATCCTCCTGTTAGAACAATTGGGTTGGCATGCTCCTGCTCATTGTTTACTTCAAATATAAAAGAGAGGTAATAGTCTTTATTCAGTGCATCCTGGACATTCCATAATTTACAAGTGGAAAAATCATTTCTTCAAAAGGAAGGGGGATATAGGGATGGCTTGGAGCACCAAAAAGGAAGAAACAAGGATCATTACACAGCAAACATACACAAAACTACATGACGCCATCCCTACATCTTCGCCTGATACCTTAATTGCCTATGAACAAAAACATAGGGATGGTGTCATGTAGTTTTATGTATGTTATGTTTGCTGTGTAATGATCCTTGTTTCTTCCTTTTTGGTGCTCCAAGTCATCCCCATGTCCCCCTTCGTTTTGAAGAAAAGATTTTTCCACTTGTTTCAACTATTTCTTAATGAACAGCTTGTATGATGGCACTCTGCATGGAAAAGTGAAAGCACTAGATGCTAGCAAACACTGAAGGTCTAGCATAGCAATAGCTAATTGGCTGAACCAGGGGGTATAATGCACAGATGACAATGTATTAGTAAGGTGTAATTAGGTTTTGGCATCTTTATACACAGTTGTGGTTTCATGGGCAGGCTTTAGTACAATGTTAGGTATATACCTGCTAGCGGGCACAAACAATGGAGGCTCAAATATTGGCATACAACACACGCTGCGCCTTACGCAGTGGCGACGCTGGCTCCTACGCGCAACATGCACCATATACACAGTGCATGAAATTACAGTCGGAGATCCGACATTTTCCGAGCATTTGCGGCACTTGTCCGAGCAATAATCGTTCTGTTCTGCCTTACTGTCCGAACGGCGACGATTACGGGGGCCCGCACGCACGCAATTAAAAAATGCGTGGTTCCGCGTAAAGCGCGTACGCTGATGATCCTTCTTTCCCAGCCTCACTCCTCTGCGGTGAGGGTGTGGCTATGCGAGGCTCAATAGCACGTGGCTTCTTAGCTCAGCTAGAGTCCGCTGCAAGTCCGTGGAGCTAATGAAGAGAGGTTTCCAAGCATCCTCCAGTGAGCCCAGACTAGATGACTTGGATGATTGGACGCAGGTTGACTGAGATTGACTCCACAACTCATCTATTGTATGCAATGTAGAATTAATATTACCATAACTTATTATTATGGCTGATCAACAGCGGAGAATGGCAGAACAAATTTATTGTGCTCGGACAAATTTTCCACAGATTTTTTCTGTCTAATTTCATGCACTGTAGGTAACAAAAAGGGTAACTTTGAAACACATACGCACAAAATCAAAGGCAGTCACCACACATCTAAAGAATAAACTCCGGCTAGGCCTTGCAATGCAATCATGGATGATGTCGGTATCTCAATTGAGCACAAGCTGGCAGGATCAGTGTCACTGTTAGTAGTGTTTCGAGCAAAAATAGAGGGGACAACATCTTCTAAATATCTCTGTAGAATTCACCCAGCACAGTTACTGTCGTCAACTCATGCTAGTGAAACAGGCCGGAGACCACGCATTGTGTAAATGGTGAGGAAAGCCCACCCAGTCCTTTGAATTGCATGATTTTTTTTAGGTCAGGTGCTTCCATGCGCTCTTGCTTGGCGTATGAATTGGCTCACTCACGAACAATGTATGGCATTCGCTCTAGTAGTAGATACAGTAAGTGAGACAGAATCAACAAACTGGCTAATTGGACTGCCAGCAGAGTACATACAAATCATGATCAAGCTTGTGTCTGTGCTTTACGCTCAATCTTGCACTTTAGTCAACATGCATTCAATCTACCGCTGACTGCACGTACGCCCCGCCCCGACTCTCTTCTGTACACAGTACACGTGTTTGTCAGCATTTGAAACCAGTCTTCTTTGGGTAAACGCGGCAGAACATTCCAAAATTTACGCATGGGCTAGCTCTAAGTCTGCTCTAAGTACCTGCAAATTCTGAGAGTGACTGACTGTGCACAAAACTATTCAGACGATTTTCTTATTGGTAACCGTTCTGGCCATGGGTGGCAGAGTTCGCGCACAAAAAATTGTGCGCGTATTATAGGCACTTCACACACACCTAAATGGATGAGCAAATGATAGGCATCAACAGACTTTGGGGGCAAGTCTTTTTTTTCTCTTTTTTTCACATGGTAACAGTCATGGCATGACAAAGGAAAAAAGGAAACTCAAATAAGGGCAGAGTGAGCAAAACACATAGCAAAGACAAACCCAAAACAACCACAAAACAAACACACACTTCCGGTATTTGGCGGAACGAATGTTTTCTGCATCACGTGTTGACTGAAACAGATATGGATATAGATACTATTACAGTCTCTAGATGGCAACCCCCCGTCGCACCCGTGGGCGGACTTGCACACGTCACTGCGCAAGCGTCGGGACTCTCGTCAACAAGAACAGCGAATAACAGCTCGGTGATTTGCCAAAGAAGAATGGATTACGCTCTACGTATCCATCTTGTCATAGTCTGCTTGCTACTATGCCAACGAGGTATGTAGACGTGAAACGTACTTGTGGGGTGATTTGTGATTACTGCATGTTCATAGCTACAGTTACGGGTACTGAGAGATGTGGATATGGAGATGTAAAAGCACTAGAAACTGAAGAAAGAGTTAACAGGTATCTACTTCTTTTGAAGTGCTTTTTAGCTGCATGTGTCAATGCAGCACGGACTTTTCTTTCACATCTTAGCTATGGAAGTTGCTTCCCGTATGATACAAGCAGTACTCCCTCTGGGACTCCATGTGATGAAATTTACACGCAACAAGAGACGTACGTTTTCTTGTCATCCCGTAGAACTGAAGGAGACTTCAATCGTTATCTTAGACATTTTCGTGACATTAACACATTCTTTGATCTCATCATACCCGCAAAGTGCATCAATGAAACAAGAAAAGTCTTGTGCCATTTCTTCCTGCCAACGTGTGGCAATTCGACTGTGTTTAAGCCCCCTACATCTGTTTGTGAAGACATTTGTGAGCATCTCAGAAACATCTGTCCAGATGAATTTCAACAGCTCGCACTTCATTTTCAACTTAATTCTGGAGTGTTGCAGCCACTTGGTCTAACAATGATCAATTGTTTGGACACTGGAGATTACATTTCTCCACTTCAGCATTGTTGCTCTGATCTGGGTATAGAAATTCGTAAGTCCAAGATGCACCAGCTTTCCAATGTATAACATAATGTTCTACACACAGCGTGCATGAATGTGAATGATTCAGGCGATCTAGTGCCTGATCCAGTGTGTGTCACATCAGAATCTGTGGTAGTCCCCAGTCCGTCGCAATCAGCGCAGCCTGACCCTGGATTCAGCAGAGAAAGAAGCAGTGTTGGTGTTACAGTGGCAATTGCTATTGCAATATTGGTAGCTGCTTTTATTGTACTGGCTATATGTCTCGTTCTTGTGGTAAAGCTGCGCAGGATGCATAAAAAGAAAAAGCAAGTTGTAAAAACGTCCATGTCGTCATTTCCCAGGTAATGTGCATAACATACTGTAACCCTAAGTGTTTGTTATCACTCTGTGCACATAGTTCTAAAAGCAAAGATTCATTGCGTTACCGTGGTAAGAACTCTAAACTTATGTATTACCATAACAGAGTTATAGTGAAAGTTTAAAAAAATGTTTTTTAGATGCAAATGATGCTAACCTACTAAGACCTGTTGCTGAGTCTTCGACAAGAGTAGCAAGGGTTCCATCAGCCTACATTAGACAGATGGCAGATGAGAAGCTCCTCATCCCAGGAAGAAGTCTCACCCTCATGGACACCATTGGGCAAGGTATATGCATGCATGTTGTGTACATAATTACACAGGTGACTTCTGTGTGCTGTATGCATGCTGTTAATGTAATTACATAGGTGAGTTTGGAGTAGTGTATCGTGGGAATCTGGGTGGCTGGAGGGCAGAGAGAGAGCATAGTTTGGTTGCCATCAAAACACTAAAAGGTATGAAACTATGCAAGCAACATGTCAACAAGTCTTGCCGTGAGTATATACAGTCATGTTGAAGTAGTGGTATTGGGTGTCGTCATTCTACTACAGAGTATAATTATAATAGTAGTAAAGAAAGAATCTCCCACACTTTGAGGTCTGATTGCTATCATCCTAACCCCCAAAGGGAGCACAACAAATGCTTAGACCCAATGTGTCCATTATTCCGAGGTTTCACTGTATATTGTATGTGTTGTTCTTGCAGGTATTTTTAGTACCAATGATCTCAGTAACATGGTGGAAGAGAGTGTAAAGATGGCAAAGTTCAATCATCCTAATGTAATGAGGTTGATTGGTGTGTGCATAGACAAGGGGGCTTCCCCTTACATTGTAATGCCGTACATGGCTTATGGCAGTCTGTTGTCATACCTGAAGAAGCAGAGAGCAGAGCTTACTCTGGCAAACGATGAGGACCAGGAACTAGTAAGTGCAGCCACATGTGGTGTGATGCATGGTGTGTATGTGAAACCTCTTTGAGGAACTCCCCAATCCTTTAGAGTGATGTAGTATTGGTTTCAATGTCCTTTAGGTTACAGCTACTCAATGCAAACTCCTCTCAATGTGTCTGCAAGTTGCTAAGGGAATGTCATACTTGGCAGCACAGGAGTTTGTTCACAGAGACATGGCTGCTAGGAACTGCATGTGAGGTTTTAAACTCATCATGTAGGTTACATAAATAACCTCCTTCCCCATGAAGGATTGATGAGAACTTTGTGCTGAAGGTAGCAGACTTTGGTCTGTCAGAGGACATCTATGCCAGGAACTACTTCAGACAGACTGGTCTCCAGGACAGTGAGGGAGAGACTCCGATCAAACTCCCAGTGAGGTGGATGGCAGTGGAGAGCCTCCATGATGGCATCTTCACTGAGAAAACTGATGTGGTGGGTATCGCTTTAATATTCAATGATACCTGTAGGATAGGACATTTATGTTACAGTGGTCTTTTGGAGTGACAATGTGGGAGGTATTTTCTGCTGGGAAGAATCCATACCCTGGAGTGGATCCATTCACCCTAATCAAACACCTGGATGATGGAGGAAGACTCGAGAAACCTACAAATGCTGCATGCTCTCAGGAAATGTAAGCAATGACAGTGGACATAAATATAATTGTGCAATTACGTACTGCTGTCTATATAAGGGCATTACTGCTGTATTGCACATGTCAACCCTTTTAATAACACTACCGCTACATAAGTATTGTAGAAAGCAAAATATCAGCACACATGTTAGCAATATTTTAGCATAGTGCCTGCCCCACTATGCATTCACTATGCTAACCATGTACATATAGCTACAGGGGAAGTTTGTACTGGCCCTTGTTCTGTAAGACGTACTTGAAACTGGTGTAGCCATAACGCTAGGCATGTGTTGTTGCCAAGCATTACTGTTTTGGAATTTTCAGAATCATGCGGTTTTAGTGTTTGCTCTCCTTACACATTCATGTCATTACAGCTACACCCTGATGTGTGATTGCTGGAATGAAGCTCCTGATGTGCGTCCTCATTTCTCCACTTTGGTGTCCACCATCTCAGAGACTTTAGAGAGCATTGCTGGCTACCTGCACTTTAGTCCTGACTGGTTGGCTGGAGATGGACCCACGACATCTCGCTACGACCACCTCATGGCAGCAGAGCTCTCAGAAATGAAGAAATCCAGCCGTGGATATGATCATTTGAATCCCACCGTGATTGTTTCTGATGAACACTGTTTACAACAAGTTATTGAACCTGACAGTTGTGCTCACTAACATTGGTCACCTGAAACAAACATGCTCATAACATAATACCTGCACATAATTGCGTTACTCCTCTCATTCTGTAAGAAGTTTTACCATCTAGAGTATAATATATATATATTGTGTTCTAAACATTTCACTGCCATCAATTTCACTGCCTCTTAGACCGGTACCTATACAAGTACGAACTTCATAATGAGTGTGTGGAGGTTGCCTGACTGAGAAATCAACTCTTGTTTCCCCTATGATTCATTGAGGCTAAATTTTAGAGGAATAAGACCACTTCTAAGATCATGAGGCACACATATATACAGTAAACACCCATCCACTATCACTGTTTCAGTTGAGGAGAACATAAAGGGGTGAATGTCTCCTACCTGTGACACTATAATAATATGCTACAATCATGCCCCCCGCCCTCCCCCACTACAATGCTGTACACATTGACACCTGCATAGCTTAGAGCCATTGCAGTCCCTGTGTTTTGAATGTCCAAAAGTATATAGGACAATTGGCTTATAAAAACATTCACCATTTTGTCCCACAACTCATTAGGGCTAACAGCTAATCCATGAAGCCCTAGCATAATTATATAATTGTACACTACAGCCATGAAATAATAGAATTCTGGTAATTTTAGAATTATAAACGTAAAGCCCTTTCCTTAGCACGAAGTGATGTTAGAGTTATTTGATAATAATTATGCAGGATAGAGCTAAACAGCTAGCTAGATCTCGGGGCAAAATTTAAAAAACATGAATCTATTAAGATGTTGGTAAACCACATGGGATCAATTGGATGTGAGTATAGATTGCAAGCAATTCCCCAGGCCTCCTTTCTTTTCATTGAAGGCCAGGGAAACAGAAAGGAGTATAGAGTTTTTAATTAAAAAAATGTGATGAGTGTCAGATGTAGGTTTGCATCATGTGCGTCTGTTGGTATTCTATGAGTTATGGACTTGTTAGAGCTACCCTATGTTTAATCCCTTCATTTGTTACACTCTATTAGGTGTGTAGTAAGTAAAATTAATGCTGTGTATTCAAAGGCGTTCTTGAACCACAAACTCGATACATAAAGTTTCCACCTGGCTCTCCACAATGGCCCGGACTGACAATCAATGAACATTAGCTTCCCTGGTTAGCTGTATTTCGTGCACATTTCCTCATTGCTTAGCCATGCTTATTATTCCACTTCACTGCACTTATGCCTCTTTTCTGGGGGGCACCCGACGCAAAAATGCGCATGCGCAATGAAGATCTGCCACAATGTCGCATTGGCATCAACTTCAACTCCAAGAGATCTACTACTGACGCTCCTGGTGGACGCAGACATAATTTCCTGCTCTATTTTTTGGTTGCCTTACGTAGGGCGATCCGTATAATCCGCCGCCCCATTTTTGGTAGATGGCACAAGTAAGGTGGATCCAATCAGTCTTAAGCACCCATAAGCCCACTAGTCGTCCTAATGCGAATTGAGGCACCCATAGGTAGCAGCCAGTAGCAGAGGGAGCTGAGGGAGCACTAGTAGCCGAGGGAGCACTGGTAGCAGAGGGAGCACTGGTAGCTGAGGGAGCACTGGTAGCAGAGGGAGCACTGGTAACACTGGTAGCTGAGGGAGCACTGGTAGCAGAGGGAGCACTGGTAGCTGAAAGAGCACTGGTAGCAGAGGGAGCACTGGTAACACTGGTAGCTGAGGGAGCACTGGTAGCAGAGGGGTGCACTGGTAACACTGGTAGCTGAGGGAGCACTGGTAGCAGAGGGAGCACTGGTACCAGAGGGAGCACTAGTAGCTGAGGGAGCACTAGTAGCAGAGGTAGCTGAGAGAGCACTAGTAGCAGATGGAGCACTGGTACCAGAGGGAGCACTAGTAGCAGAGGTAGCTGAGAGAGCACTAGTAGCAGATGGAGCACTGGTACCAGAGGGAGCACTAGTAGCAGAGGTAGCTGAGAGAGCACTAGTAGCAGATGGAGCACTGGTACCAGAGGGAGCAGTAGTAGCAGAGGTAGCTGAGAGAGCACTAGTAGCAGATGGAGCACTGGTACCAGAGGGAGCACTAGTAGCAGAGGTAGCTGAGAGAGCACTAGTAGCAGAGGTAGCTGAGGTAACAACAGTAGCAGTGGTAACAATAGTAGCTGGGGTAGCGATAGTAGCAGTCTTGTCTTTTGCATCTAAGCAAGTTACTCCAATGTTGTATCATTCAAAGTTTTGATAGTAATGCACATTACAATTAATAATGACAATGAAATAGAAGTCAGAATATGTTATTGCCCCTACAAATCTTTTTTGTAAATGGGGGTGCTTCTCCTCTAGATCGGGTAAGATATCTCTTTCTCTCTTGGTTGTCTGGGTAGATGAACAATTGCAATGATCGAAGGTTTGCAACAATAATTGATTTTTATTACTTCTTGAACTCATCTTTGACAGACCTGACACACCATCATCTGCCTGACTTGCTGGTGCTGGAGGGTCACCTTCATTTAGTCCTGGAGGGTCACCTTCATCTAGTCCTGGAGGGTCACCTTCATCTAGTCCTGGAGGGTCACCTTCATCTAGTCCTGGATGGTCACTTTCATCTAGTCCTGGAGGGTCACCTTCATCTAGCCCTACCAATGGAAAGATCAAGCACTGTAGGAGGGGTATCCTACATAATACAAACCTGTCACACCATCATCTGTCTGGCTGATCTCTACCGCTGCTGGAGAGTTGCCTGCATCTAGCCCTACCAATGGAAAGATCAAGCACTGTAGGAGGGGTATCCTATATACATAATACAAACCTGTCACACCATCATCTGTCTGGCTGATCTCTGCCGCTGCTGGAGAGTTGCCTGCATCTAGCCCTACCAATGGAAAGATCAAGCACTGTAGGCTCAAATGAGGCTACCTATACAGACCTGTCCCACTATCGCCTGTCTGACAGATCTCTGTCTCTGCTGGACGATTGCCTGCACCCAATAGAAAGACAAGCACTGTGTAAAACAGGTATTCCTATATCAGACCTGTCACAGTATCATCTGTCACAATGATCACGCCTGCTGCTTCAGGGTCACCTGCATCTTGACCTGTGATTAGAAAACCCAAAAAATGGAGGCTCCAAAGAGGCAACTCTTTACAGACCTGTCACACCATCGTCTGCCTTGCTGATTGCTACCACCGTTGGGTATAGTAATGTACTTAATTGCACATGGACTGGCAATTAGCTATACCGGTGCTCCCTCAGCTACCAGTGTTACCAGTGCTCCCTCTGCTATTAGTGCTCCCTCAGCTACCAGTGCTCCCTCTGCTACTAGTGTTACCAGTGCTCCCTCAGCTACCAGTGTTACCAGTGCTCCCTCTGCTACTAGTATTACCAGTGCTCCCTCAGCTACCAGTGCTCCCTCTGCTACCAGTGTTACCAGTGCTCCCTCTGCGACTAGTGCTCCCTCAACTACCAGGCTCCCTCTCCTACTAGTGCTGCCTCTGCTACCAGTGTTACCAGTGCTCCCTCAGCTACCAGTGCTCCCTCAGCTACCAGTGTTACTAGTGCTCCTAGTGCTACCTTGCTACCAGCGCTACTACTGCTACTGTTTGTTACTCCAGCTACCTAGCTACTACTGTTACACGGACTAGGCCATTATGACCGCTTATCATCTTATTATGGGCGCTTATCTTCTAAGATCCACCTTACTTTTGTGCCATCTACCCCATTTTCGCATGCGCACGCAGCGCCCCACACGAAAAATGTTTAAAACCGGGCCTGGACTTGAAAAAATAGTTGTCTAGTGAGAAACGCGTTACTGTAGGAGCTATGAGTTTCGTTTTATTCCTTCTGCTTTACACTGGTAAGTGGTTGCTAACCCATGGTGAAGCTACAGATGCCTATAATATATGTTTTTACAGTTGTTACAACAGAAAGCTGCGACGATGAACTAACAAATGTAGCTGAAACTAAAGAAATTGTGGAGAGGTAAATGTAATTTTGTGAGACAAAAACGAGTGAACCCCATTTATACAAAACGAGAATTGAGAGTGTATAACAGACTCAACAACAGAGAGGCAGTATAATTATAGAAGCCCTAAGGATAGCGAATATATCATATTAAGTCCCGACACTTAATATTATAACAGGCTAGGTATAATGACTAATCAGCAGCTTGCACTGTTCTCTATTGGTTTAATGGCCATGGCATAGCAAAACAATGTCGGTACTTGATCGTCTATTACAGGTATGGAAATTGCTTTCCTTATGACACGAGCAATGTTCCTCATGGCACTCCATGTGATGACCTCTACACACAAAACACAACCTATGTTTACCTTTCCTCACTAAGAACTGGAGGAGATCTCCAGCGTTACCTCTTGTTTTTTGAAGATATACGCATTTTCTTTAACTTTATTCCACAACATTGCATGGATGAAGTAAGAGAGGTATTGTGCCACTACTACCTACCTCCTTGTGGAAACGCAACTGTATTTGAACTCCCCACCTCTGTTTGTGAAGACGTCTGTGAACACTTGGAAAATTTGTGTCCAGAAGTAGTTAGAGAAATTGACATATTTTTTGAGACAAACAAAGAGATATTGGCTCCTTATGGCTTGACCATGATCAACTGTTCCAATACTGGAGACTATTTACCTCCTATTCAGCATTGTTGCACCAGCCTGGGTATTGATATTCGTAAGTTTTCCGTGTATAAATAGCTATGTACTCCAGACCTTTTCTCTTACCCACCTGCAGCATGCAAAAAGGACACAATGTGTACAGCGTCTGATTCTGACATAATTCCTAGTCCATCACCATCAACACATCCCACTGGGTCACCATCCTTGAACAATGAATGGATTTATGTTGGAGTTGCTATAGCAATTATCGTAGCAGTAATGATCACAACTTTGATAGGTGTCTTTGTTATGCTCAAGAAGTGTAGACAAGTTAATAATCAAGAGCAAGCTGGAAAAAGTTCCACGGCATATGAAAGGTATGTATGTGTGACTAAATGTGGTTTGCAGTAATTTAATATTCTGAATACAGTACTACAGGAAACCTTTCACAGCGCTACCATGGTAAGAATGTACTTTAAAGCGGTGACTAAGTTTTTTAATGTGCAAAATTTTGATTGATCTTTGGCTTAGGGGGAACCCTCCACCTACAGCCCAATCCTCCATACCAGACCCAGAGAGTTGAAAGAGTACCATCAGGCTACATAAGACAGATGGCTGCTGAGAAGTTCCTGATCCCAGGGATAAATCTTACTCTTATTGACACAATAGGACAAGGTAAAGCTAGTATGTGCTTCATGGGAAATATCATGCTGCAAGTCATCTATTATTAGGCAATCCTTTTTGCAGGTGAGTTTGGAGTTGTTTATCGTGGGGATCTGACTGGTTGGAGAGCGAATAGAGAGCAGGGCTTTGTTGCTGTAAAGACACTTAAAGGTACGAAGTGTTGTGGGTGACTGTTTTTAAAGCCGTTAGCATTGCTTTCTATGAGGCAGAACAACAAAAACATGTTGTGACTATGAATTTGGCTGTTTTGAAGTCTCTATTCAGCTGCATGACCTAATCATGGTCTTTGTTGGCATTCACCTTCCTTTGTCTGTTACAATGTCCAGGTGTGTTTGGAACCAGTGACCTGAGCAACCTTGTGAAGGAGAGCCTGAAAATGGCGAAGTTCAATCATCCGAATGTCATGAGGTTAATTGGTGTTTGCATCGATAAGGGAGCTTCCCCCTACATCGTAATGCCGTACATGGCATACGGGAGTCTACTGTCTTACTTAAAGAAGAAAAGAGCTGAATTGACACTGGTTAATGATGACAATGTTGATCTGGTACACAGATTCAATTGTCAGCCCAAACACATTCAGCATTATTGGTAACTCATTAGGTGACATCCATTCAGTCCAAACTTCTTTCAATCTGTCTCCAAGTTGCGAAAGGAATGTCATACCTTGCAGCCCAGCAGTTTGTTCACAGAGACTTGGCTGCTAGAAACTGCATGTAAGTAAACATAACTGCGTGGAGACATGATTGTAGACAAAGACAGTATCAATGTCGTTGTTGTTGTTCCCTATAAGGATTGACGAGAACTTTGTGCTGAAGGTAGCAGACTTTGGTCTGTCAGAGGACATCTATGCCAGGAACTACTTCAGACAGACTGGTCTCCAGGACAGTGAGGGAGAGACTCCGATCAAACTCCCAGTGAGGTGGATGGCAGTGGAGAGCCTCCATGATGGCATCTTCACTGAGAAAACTGATGTGGTGGGTGCCCCTTTAATATTCCATGATATGAGCAGGATTAGGATATTTATGTTACAGTGGTCTTTTGGAGTGACAATGTGGGAAGTATTTTCTGCTGGGAAGAATCCATACCCTGGAGTGGATCCATTCACCTTAATCAAATACCTGGATGATGGGGGAAGACTCCAGAAACCTACCAATGCTGCATGCTCTCAGGAAATGTAAGATATACATCATACTGTGTTGTCAGAAAACATAATTATCTACCACCATGTGATTCTGTTTCAGCCATGCTCTGATGAGTGACTGTTGGACTGAGGATCCAAATGGACGTCCCAGTTTCTTCCACTTGGTGTCTACCATCTCTGATAGACTAGAAAGTATTGCTGGTTACCTAGACGTTGGCTCTATGTTGCTCTCTGTTGGAAGGTCAGGGATATTGGAATATGACCACCTGAGCCCAGGACAGATGGAGATGGAGAATGAGCATCTCAACCCAGTGGTGATTATTTCAGATGAAGATGCCAATTGATATTGAACTGGATCTGAATGCTAATGAGATCATTGCACATACTACTGTTCTATGAATGCTAATGAGAACATTGCACATACTACTGCTCTATGAACTCTGAACACATTATGCACAAATTTCCCTTATTATCATTTAACATAACCGTGAAGAAGAAGATAGTGGCTCTTCTTACAGAAAATACTGCTTTCTTTTCCTGTTCAGGTATTTCAAAAGTTTCATTGCCCACCATTTTGAATGTAGTTACACTGCAACCACATCTAATGCCCATGCTGCCTTATACACATCAATATTAGCCGTATAATGCCGAGCATTTTATCATATATACCTCTTTCAGTCACGAATTCGGCTTCTGCGACCGATCGGCGTTTTCAGCAACTCTCCTGCACGCATGCGTAATTCTGCTCAAATCGACACACCCCAAAGGTTTTCAAAGGTTTCAATGCACTGCAAGCCAAACAAGAATAGGCATGGCATGTTTTACAAAATAAAATTACTTGTAATGTCTAGCATAATTATACACGAAAATATTTCATCCCGCGCACGCGCGCTGTGGCGATCTTTTTTTCTGCCGTTACAGACTACGCACAGCCTCTGTGCTGCCTTCAGCCTCTCAGACATTTATGAATGTCTCACTCAATCCGGACCTTGTTGCTATTTTTTACAGATTTTATAGGCTAATGTAGGAACCACTTTTGAACTCACAGCCCCACCTGAGGGCTTTTTGACAAGGTGTTTGAACGTGAGTTAGAGGAAAAGAAAATTAAAACTCTGTTGCAAACAAGAATCCTCCAAAAACCTTATGGAGAAGACTTTTGTGGTTATTACTTTTAAATTAGCAATATGGCTGAAGGAGCTAAGAAAAAGGGGTTAATGCAAGGTCTTGAGAGGGGGACAAAGGGAAAGAGGTTCCTGGCTGGTTTGTTCCTCATGATGATGGTTCTGGTTTGTACTCGTCTTGGCCTTACGTGGGAGGTTCGTAACCCCCTCCCATTCCTTGGATAGAGTGGAACCTAAGGCAGCTCTCTCTCCAAGAGGGAAATACCCTTTGACACACCCCCTGCGCAGTTTGTTTTAGCAGTACCCCTTTACTTCAGCTCCATCTTAGGCAGGTGGGAGAAGAGTAGGATTTTGTAAGAGTAGGATTTAGGCAGTAGCAAATAGTTTCTCATAATGCTCTCTGATCTTTTTCCATCCTGAGGATAACAGCCCTTTACCCTCCTCTTGTGACATCAGATGAAACTTTACGTTGCACACAACTTCCGCTGAGGGTACTGGTGCACAGAGAAGTTGGCTGCATTCTGCACTTGTTTATGGGTGGGTGGGTGGTGGGTGAAAGTCAATGGTGCCTTGCAGGGAAGATGTACCAGATGGCCAGAGGCATCATAACGCATTAACAAATCCAACATGAATGCATGCAGGTCACAGCTAAATTTTTAATCTGTCAGTCGTGTATAAGAATAGTAATGGTATAGATGAATCTCATAATATTTATAAAAAACCCTCTGAGCTTGGAAGAACACCTGTCTAAGTCAAACATAGCTACCACTCATGTGCCCACTTGCTCTACATAATGTCCAAAGAGCTCATACCTGCAGTTCATTGGACGTCTTTATCGTCATCTTCTCACTAACACATGGTCACAAACACAAAATAATAATTTTTAACCATTATCCCAACTTTTCTTGGTAGAAATGCCACGGGTCAAATATCACGTGACCTGCGTATATAACGCCTAAAAACTCCGAGTGAGTATGACTCGCTAGGCCTTCAAAACACACTAGCAATAGTCCACGGGCCATTATCTAGCTATACATCTACCCAAAGATCTCATGCGCACCATCAGTTCTCCACGCGAGAATTCGCTCATACGCGATTTCACGATTTTTGTGTCTGTAAGTAAAATCGGTCTACACATATCCAGCAAGATACCTGTTGGTTTGCACGGGAGCAACTTCGCGTGAGTGTGCGTGCAGAGACCTGCGTGCGCGTATAGTTACTTCGTAGTTACCCCTCCATCCATTGTTTGTGTCTCAACATGTAGCTATTACTCTGATTACTAGAGCCAGCCAGTAAAACGACCATCTGTGCAAAGATGCCATTACCTAATTACGTCCTTGGACACAATAGACAGTCTCTGTGTCTACTGCCTCCTGCTTCAGGTATATTGAGCAGTCATAGCGAGCGAACTGCGCATGCGCGGTATTGCTAATTGACGAACTAACCTAGTGGTACGAACGGCGCGGATTTCTTACTCCGTACTCTTGCTCAGTCTAGAGAAGATGCCCTTCGTCGTCTAGAGGGAAAGAGAACATCGTGCCCATGAGAGAGAGGCTCGTCTGTGGGAGGGAGAGACTCCTGAGCAGAGAGAGGCTCCTCTGTATCAGCGTCGCTTGCGTGATAGGGAACTCGCTTGTTACACGCTGCCTAGCTGTCATATCCATGCGAAATCTAGCCAGCAAATGAGCTCTCGTCTATTCGCTGGCATTCGCTGCGCTCTTCGATACCTGATCGAGGCTGTATATATGGATATACCTCTTTCCAATCTTCGTGGTTCTAAGGTTCAAGTTGTAAATAGCTAGGATGTGTGTGCTCGCTCCCGCTCGCCAAAAATGCCGTGCATTCGCCTACTAGTATACACTCGTGGTCTCCCTAGCTCGCGACGGGCTAGCTACAGTAATAGACGGAAGTCGACACATGCCCTTTGTTGTGACTTTTTGTGCCTCATGATGCACAGAGCAAGCGGACGCGGTGTATATTGCCTTGTTTACTTGTTTTTGACGACACTTTTACGAAAATCGCCATTTTAAAAATAAGCGTTGGTATTGCGCGTGCTGGCAGAAAACGTGGTAACAGACGGACAGACGGACAGACGGACGGACAAACTAACCCTCGCTGCGCATGCGCGCCTAAATGATCAACCCTACTACTATACTAGTAGGCGCATTTTTGGCGAACGGGATCGAGCGAGCACACAATGACTCATCTGCACCAGCCATCCTACAACTTTAACCTTAGAATCACGAAGATTGGAAGGAGGTATAGAAGAGCGCAGCGAAATAGACGAGAGTTTTTGGCTGGCTATATTTCGCATCGATATGACAGCTAGGTAGCGTGTAAAAATTTGCGCGTTCCCTATCACGAAAGCGACGCTGATACAAACCAGCCTCTCTGCTCAGGAGTCTCACGGGCACGATGTTCTCTTTCCCACTCTCTTCGACGACGAAGGGCATCTTCCCCGGACTATATGCACATGTATACGCACGACATCATCACTGCACAGGCCTGGCAGCATGTGAAATTTTGAAATCCTTTCGGATAAAAAGAAGCGCGTAATCCTGGAGCATGCGCAGTTACGGTCGTAGATAAATAGAAATCCGCGCCGTTCGTACCACTAGGTTAGCTCGCTCCCGCTCGCCAATGCATGGCATTTTGGCAAGCGGGAGCGATCACACAATGACTGTATCTGCACGAGCCATTTACAACTTGAACCTTAGAACCACGAAGATTGCAATATACAAGTTATATACAGCCTCGGTAAGGTATCGAAGAGCGAAGCGAATAGGCAAGCCTTTCTCTCGTCGCTGGACTGTGCAGCAATTCGCCTTTTCTCGATAGCTTCGGAGGTGTTCGAGCTGCGTTTCCCCTGATTCCGCAGCAAGTCGCGATTTAGCTTGTACACGACGTCTTGCTAGTCGCGCTTCCCTTTCCTCCGCTGTTTCTGTGGCGAGGCGTTCCCTTGGCCGTTCCCTATCACGCAAGCGACGCTGATAAAGACGAGCCTCTCTCTCACGGGCACAATGTACTCTTTCGACGAAGGGCATCTTCTGGACTGATCCATGATCGCGAGAGTACGGAGCAACACACACGAGTATACGCGCATAATTAACCATCGGCGCGCATGCGCAGCGAGGGTTACGGTAGTTGTCCCGTAAGTGTGTCAGTCAGTCTGTCTGTTACCACGTTTTCTGCGACTACGCGCAACGAGATAACAAAAATAGCGATACCAACTGGTTCGTCGCTACCTGGCTTCATTTTTAAAAAGGCGATTTTCGTATAACAACTGCGTTCTAAAGTTATGGCGTGAAAAGCAAGTGAACAAGCCAATATGCAAATTAGCGCAGGCTTACCTCGACCGCGTCCGCTCGCTCTGTGTATCTTGCAGGCACAAGAAGTCACAACGAAGGGCGTGTATCGACACCCGCATGCTATCTACTCCTATACCTAGCCCGTGTCAGACTCTCCGCGAGCTACTAGCGGGATACCACGAGTAAAGATACAAAGCCCAGCCCATCAATAAGTGATACCGCGCATGCGCGCATGCGCATTTCGCCGAAGGTTTGCACTTTAGTGCTTTTCATTATACAGGGTGAAAATTATGAGATCCTAAAAAGAAGCACGTAATCCTGGAGCATGCGCAGTTGGACGACGTGCGGTCGTAGTTTCCGCGCCGTTCGCCCGCTCGCCAAAAAGCAAATGAGAGTGACGGTGATAAGATAATGCTGTGTTGTCAGCTGTTCATTCAAAGAATAGTAGAAACAAATGGAAAAATCGTCTGGGATGACTCGAAGCACCAAAAAGGAAGAGACAAGGGGTCATTACGCAGCAAAGACACACAAAGCTACATGACACCATCCCTATTCCCTATATCTTTGTTCTATTGATTCATATGCAAAATAATATCAATAAAGATAATATAGGGATGGTGTATGTAGCTTTGTGTATCTTTGCTGTGTAATGACCCCTTGTCTCTTCCTTTTTTGGTGCTTCGAGCCATCCCTATACCCCTTTCATTTTGAAAAAATGATGTTATCTTTTCTTCTTCTCCTGTTTTCCATGACAAGGCGACCCTTCATTTCAGCACTTGTAGTATGCATATAGGGACCTCGGCCAGGGGATGTTTACACTAAAACAGAAACTGATTCATATCTCAGTCCTAGCTAAATCTTTCTGCGTAATCGGAACTGACTTGCTGATAGGGCATGTGGCCAATCTACAACATCAACAAAGACTGTACCCCAAAAAGGAAGTGGTGTTACGGGAGT